CAGTAGGGTGGAGGCTTGGTGGTGAGCTGTGAAGCATAAGCGAGGAATCGCATACGTCGAATCGAGTCGTGGTGGTTCAGTGGTAAGGTTCGACGTTCGACGACTCGATTCGACGTCTCGCTTGATTCATGCAATGCTTCCTTATCATTACCGAGTATCACCCCCCCCCGTTGATGTTAGATGACGTTCGATAGGTAGTAGGTTCTGATCAGTCACTCCTCAAGAGGGCCTCTCATGCGATGCACATTTATAAAGTCCGAATTCTCATCTGTTGACGGCTTGAACCAACTTCAAGCTGTCATAAAAAGCATCTTTTCTTGGCCATATTTGTGCCGCAAGTGTTAAGCTGTTTCTGTAATTTTAGAGCCGATATAAAGTGCAAAGTTGTTGTCAAAAACTCACTTTTGTGTCGACCCGACACTCCATTTCAATGGAACAAAAATAGACAGAAATCAAGAAATAGTAGGAAGGCCCTCATACTAGCTCATAGAGCGGAATATTATCGATCGAACAGCATAGAACACAGTGGTAACCATTCTCGTTTTTTATATGAAAATCAGTGTAAGTGAAAAACGCCATTACTTATGGGTCAACCCAACACAATGGGATGAATATACGGTCTTATGAATCCACAGCAACGTGAACGATAGACGGGCAAGAGAATCGTAATTTGCCGCTCCGCCGCGCGCGGCGATGGGCGCGGCGTTTTCTTAATTTGTGTTAGCCTGTCGATGGAGCACCGGATTTCACGTGGGCTGCGAATGTGTAGACATTTATGACTTTCTCGGTTCTATGTTGCCTGTTGTTGCCTTCTACAATCTGGCACCATCGTCATTTGCGGAAGCGACGTCGCAAGCGGCGCCTGTCAGCACAGCAAACTACGATTCTTTTGTCACATACCCAACGTGTGTTCACGGTTCCAAGCTGGAAGCAAGTACAGGGGGGGGGGCAATAAAAAAGACACTTTTCTTCCTCGACTTTCAAGGCGCTATAAGTTACACTTTATTAAATTTGATTGGACATTTCCACCATCATTCAACAACACATTGTACACTATCACGATACTCCGCCACAGCCTTCTGGACGAACGCCATCGAGAGATTCTGCCACGCGACCGTGATTCGGTGCCTGAGTTCAGCGAGATCGTTGATTTCTCCGCCACTGTAGACCACCCTGTTGAGCTCCGCCCGAACCCGGTAATCGAGGGGTTTAGGTCAGGTGGCACACTTGGATATTCCGTCTTCTTCAGGTACTCAACGCCCTTCGATTCCAAGTAGGCGAGAGTTTTTCCAACGCCCTTCGATTCCATGTGCTGGCACCCAATCCTGTAGCAGTACAAAGTTTCCAAGAGATTCAGAGTTTTAAGAGAGAGAGAGAGAGAGTGTTAGGTTGTGGATTCAGTTTGGGTCACCCTAGACGTTATTTTAAACTAGGCAACATTCAGCATCAGCCCGCCTTCATGTGGCAGATAGTTTTGTATATGCGTGCCGATCCAGCCTGTTCACTCAAACAGCTTTCGCAGAACACTGGAGCCATTTCCTCACGGACCGATCAGTTGCCCATAATGCAATCCTTGCCCTTTTTCGATCATCTTTCGTGGCTAGATTTCCAACATAAGCAATGACCGCAAGTTACGGAACTTCGGCGGTGCCTTTCTTGGGCTCGCTATTGGCTGGTGTGCTACACGTTTTGCACCTTCTACCCATAGCTCCTCAAATCAGGACACATCATTGGATGTGGGAAATTTTTGATAAGATGTGTGCAATCCTCATCATTACGGACTGTCGGGCGTGTCCAGGCGGCTGAATTTGGCGGCGCGCGGTACCGAAGTCGTTCTGCACCAATTCTTGAAGCGGGCAATTGATATTAAATACTTCGTATTACTCGTTTTCTACCACTTTTTGTCGCATAGCGCGTTCAACAAAAAAGGCCTGAGGATACGGCTTCAACGGCTGGCGACACTCCTACTGGCTGACACGCACCCGACAGTCCGTAATGATGAAGACAGTAGTACAAGCTCCTTTCCACAGCCAACCTGCCATCTCAGCGTTCTCGAATTTTTTCAAATTCTCCAATTTTTCCCGATTTCGTTGAGAGAGGGAAGAGGCACCTCCAATCAACTATGAGTAGTACCACAATGCACTACATAACTATGGAGACACAGTCCAAATCAAACGATTTTCAGAACGGCGAAAAAATAAAGTGGTGGAGATGTGATGTTGCGATTGCATGGAACGGCTACGAAGAAATCATACGTGGGAGCGGCCTGAACGTGAATAGCCTTCAAGAAAAGTCCACGTGTTTTCGATTTGATTAAGCTTCGACCGCTTACCGGTGTGGCGAATAACCAAGGGATATTTGGTGGCAATTTGATGCCCGCGACAATCGTCGACGCTGCTGACACGCTTTGGATTATGGACCTCAAGGATGAGTATAAAGAGGTATGTAACTAGGCAATATGACTGCGTTTGACACACTGAACATCGCTCGATTTCACTGCTACTCCCATTTGAGTGTTATTGCTTGACGCATGCATTGCTGACAATGCACAAACGCGCAGAATGGGGTCCTTGAGTCACTGTGTTACTAGCTGAGAATTCCGAGTTTTTCGCCCATATTCAAGCTGCAGGGTCCTGATTACTGTTACGACATTCATTCTTAGGGAATGTGCTATTTGGCCAGTCTTTTCTCCAGTGTTGACCTCGTTTCGCGACTCGTCGAGAAGCACGGTCATAAATATGGCATCCATTTTTAGCGCCGGTGTTGAATAGTGAATCGTGATCAGGTGTATCAGCGGACCCTGCGGGACTAACGCTAGGGAGAAGAATCAGAATTAGGAACTCGTGATCAGGTGTATGAACAGCCCCTAAATGTAAGCTCAAAGCGCAGTAGATGAAAAGTGTTGACCTCAAATCGGTGCCAGGGCGAATTTGGCGCTGTTGCTAAAAATGAATGAAAAGGATAAAGTCTTCGCCGTCAATCCCTTTGTGGGATGCGGCACGCATTCTACTTCCATTCAGAATCGTAGTGGCTTATTGAATGCGATGTGGCCTATACAATGACTTGCGGGGCCAGCCGATGTACAAGTCAGTGTCCTTATCCTCCAGACGAATCTGGTACCAATTTACCGTCCTCGGGAGGGGAGGGGGGGAGGGGGGGGGGTAGAAGGCTTGGTTGGCCTAGCGCGCCACTTGTCACTACACCACCTCCTAACATGACTATTATATTTTATTAGGGCATTCAGTAAACACCCCTACCCCTAGGGATAAAATTAAGGAAACGTTTCCGGATCTGCGTTATCATTAAGAAAAGCTATTGACCTTTGAATTTACAGCTGTTTTCAAGTGAACAAAGAGGCTCGACTGAACACTACACACATTTACGCCGAAAAAAAACCATCAGTATGACATGAATAGTACCTTTTTAAAAATAAGTTGAAGCAACAAACTATATATATTCATTCCTTTCGCGTCCGCTCCCCGCCTGGCTGGCGTCACCTGCAAAAATTCTATTATCACTACTATTTCCAATAGTTGAAAGTTTAAGACGACCACCTCCCTCCCCCCTGCCCCACTCGGCAGCAAAATTTCGGGGAAAACCTAGAAAATTTGCGGGAAAGATCGCAGAAAAGAAAGAAAATTCCGGGAGAAACTGAAAAGTGATAGAAAGTTAGGGAAATCTAGGAAAGTGGTGGGCAGGATGGGGAGGGGGGGGGGGAGGTCGTGTCAGAGAATGGAATTAGATGGATCGTATTTCGCAGGAATTTATCACAGCGCGATGGCGTGCCCTGTACTCCGGTGACGACTCCATACTCCGCTTCGCATTACGTCGTGGCGAAGCCATACCACTTGCCTCTGTCCTTTTAAATACTTCTGCGCAGTGAACAGTGTTGCTTTCCACATTAGTCCATCTCTGTCCAACACTAAGTTCTCATTATCGTTGTTACCAAACAATGTCAAAACTGAGGTTACGGATGAACTTCATGTACTATAAAAGTGAAAAGATAACCTAAGTTACACCAAAAAAGCTAATAAAAAGGCAAAAAAAGGTGGCTCGTTTCGCTTCTCGATCAGACGAACCACTGTTGTTGGTGCTTCCCCTGAGGTTTTTCAGCGATTAGGGGGAAGACAAAACCTTATAGCAACGAGTCGATTAAGCTGGTACATACATAATCATGTCGTCGATTTCATTACATTTTTAGGCTCGCGACTTCATCAGGGATAAGTTCAGCATGAAGCTGGCCACGGGATCACCGTCAGTCTTCGAAACAACAATCCGATTCCTCGGTGGCTTGCTATCACTTTACGCACTCACCGGAGAAAAATTTTATATGTGAGATATCATCCCTTCCTTTCTTTGCAGAATTCGGTGTTCATTCCAAGCACGGACAGGTTGACGGAAAGTCTAGGCGACACTTTGGACGGAAATTGTAGACCGTATAACTCTACAGAACAGACGCTCACTCAGCAAGGCAGTCATCATCGATATAACGCAAGCTCGCATCCAATCTATTTGAGTAGCTACAAGCTCTTGGCTTCCTAAAAAGTAGGGACGTATGAGAAGGAACAATTGATTTTGTTTCCGACCCTACATGCGTTACTCCTCTCTAAAAAAAGTGGATTCTTGACTTAGGAATATAGCAAGCACAATCTGTTAAGCCTCTCGTGTAGAAATGAAAGCAGCCCATAACCTCCTCCCCTTCCTCGACCACTTTTCGCCAAGACCCATTAGGCTGCGTTTATACCGTGCGGCGGCGTCCACATCCGACCAGCAGCGCCAACTAGCGTCCACTAGCGTTTCGAGCGTCTGGCAGCGTCAGCACCTACCATGAAAACTTCCACCAGCGCAGCTTCTAGCCAGAGCTGGCGAAGTATAGTATCGATTAAGCGACCAGCACAGCCCTGCTGAAGCGTTCACCGCAGCGACCAAGGAGGGTAGCAGATATCTGTACCTCCATATCACCCTCTTCTCTCTGAAGCAAGTCCGTTACCTTCCTATCTTCCCATTGTCTGTCAGCTGTCTGCTATCCTACTATCGCCTCATGCCCCATTTCTGAACGCTGCCGGTTGCTGGTTGCTATCGTCGATATCTATACTTACCCATTCGCTGACGCTGCTGACCTCGAATGCTACCGATTGCTTGGTGACGCTGCCGCTAAGTATGAACGCAGCCTTATCATTTAGAGTGTCTTCTTCGCCAAGTGCGAATGCGCATTGCCCTGGAGTAGTTGAACTTTGTCAGCCAGCATTCCCAGCGTTCATACCAATAACTCTGTGCAAACGTCTATTACTAGTAGCATACACTCCTTATCCCTGAGCCAGGGTAGGCGTGGCATTTGAACATTGGCACGGAACTGGTTACTCGTGTAATATTCCAGTCTATGACAACTGTCATCTTGTTCTGTGTTGGACAAGACACGAAAACAATTTTGTCAGGATGAAAATATCTTACCAGAGGCGTAGACTCCTTCAGGTTAAGTTCAAGGATGCAGCCACACCTACCCGATCTCAGGGATTTCGAGTATAATCGTTGTTAGCCCTGCAGCCGGCCTTCCTATTGGAGAGATGCCGCGAATTTCGTATTAAATACTACACCGCTTCCATAAGGTGCAGTATACCCTGCAAATGTCCGCGGCGAAGGATTAAGGCGGCATCATGGCAAGCTTCACCAGTTGATTCCACTCTGGACGCGCGGTAAGTTGGTGGATGAGATGCCCTGGTTATAACTTATGTCAATCACAGAAAGGCGCCGCATGAACTCAAAATATACAGTGTGTCGGGATGTAGAATGATAATGAAGGACAAAATTTTGAAATCTCTTTTAAATCCATTTGCTGTCTTCAGTCTGCAGAGACCTTCGAGGATTACTCTAAATTAAGAACTTAAATGTTCAAAGACAGTTTTTAGTCTTTTCCGAATTGCTATTCAAATTGTCGCTCAAAGAAATTTCCGTCCGACCTAATACTTGTACTGGTTCAAGCTTTTCCATGTCTGCTCTGTTCCGAACTCTTAATGTTAAGTGACAAAGCGCGAGAAGTTGGCGAAGCTCTGCTACCAGCATTTAACACGCCTTCGGGAATTCCAAAAAGTATTCTCAACATCAAAACCAAGCATGCCTCGAACTACGGATGGGCTGATGGAGGGTAATTTTCAGTTAAGAGTTCGTTCACCGTTGACAAGTGAAAAATACTTTTCATTCAGAGCGTCGATCCTTGCCGAAGTCGGCACCCTTCATCTCGAGTTTCAATATCTTAGCTATTTGACCAAGGCGCCAATATTCCTGAAAAAGGTTAAAAAGGTTCGAGACGTACTGGATCGCCAGGAAAAACCCAATGGACTTTACCCCAACTACATCAACCCTGACACTGGGAAATTTACCGTGAATCACCATGTGTGAGTTAATTACAGTTATAAGAACCCCCTCGCATAGTGTGACTACTGTCTCTCTCTGGCATATTCCACTATTTCCAGATCTCTCGGTGCTTTGGGTGATTCATTCTACGAGTATCTCATCAAATCGTGGCTTCAGTCCGGCAAAACCGACATGCAGGCTAAAAGAATGTACTGGGAAGTCAGTGAAGCGATTCAAAAGAAAGTGAGTTCTAATAGAATTGAAATCAAAACTGAGTTAACAGCAGCTAGCCTTAGACTTGAGCTTTAGGTTTCTCAGTTTGTTCCTAGTCAGGTCCAAATGATTTCAAAAGATTTATAAGGAGAAACCCTGTTGGACAGCGCTTTTGAAACCACGTTTTCTTGATTTGTTTGTTTTCCAAGGGGTGGTACAGTACTTCATCAATACTAGGTCTTACAGTTAGAGAGGTTTACCGTGATTCTACTAGAAGCAAAACTTTTGTACTGCAGTTACTTTGTTACTATACATTATGACGCCTATATTCCCACAGCGCTCTAGCACCCTTTGGCTTCAATGTGTTTTTTCTCAAATTTTCACAGCGCCACCTTCCCCAAACAGAAACTTCGCCTTCCTATACAAACAATATCACAAGCAGGGCACGCCATAGCGTTGTGATAAATTTCTGCCAAGTGCGACCCCACCCTCCTCCCCCGGGTGCGCGACTTGCTACGACCTCCCCCACCCCTCAAGACAAAAAGGCAGGGAAGCAGACGATGTCGAATGAATACTTAAATTCTAATTGGTCGCACGCAATCAGAGGTTGCACCTCCAGCAGTGTCCCTTGTTTCGTAGGGGAGAGGAAAGCAGGGATGTGAAGTGTTCCTCTTTTTGTGTAACCTTTCCCCGTTGTGATTTCGTTGTGACATTTTAGTGTCACTTACGAGTTTTCTTGTTCTGAACAGCCATAACTTCTTCCCTGTTTTGATCGTGTCGCGAGAACTTTCGGGCGACGCAAAAGATCCCCATGTTCCAGCGCTGTGCCTTTCCTGGCTCGTTTAAAGACTTGAGTAAGCATCTGGGAGAAATCTTTCCGTCGAAGTTATTGGCGACTAATTTATCCGATTGACGTTCCCTCTGTATTGCGCCATGCGTCCGACTGCCACGCAGAGGTGTTGGGGAGGTGAAACTTCCAGGTAATTCTTCTCGTGGAAGCAGTTGGGCTCCTAAGGTCCAGAAAGGTCCAAACCTTTGCGAATGGCTAGCGTGCCACTTGTCACCACCCATTCCACACTTCTGAGCTTGCAACTTGCCTCTGTCTTCAAGGTGCCTCTTCAGGTGTCCTTCACAGAAAGAACCATGAATAAATCTTTCACCAATCTGTTATTGAACAACATCTCAGTATTACTGCTCTTCTCACTTCTGAATGAGCCCTGCGCTTGGAACCCGTAACTTCTTCGCGGTCAAATACGACCCCTCCCCCTTGCGATTTCCACAACAACGGCGTGCCGTGATTACAAGTGAACGACGAATGGTGCATAGAGAGTTTATCGAATCGATCAGTACAAATATGTTCCCCACCAAAGTAGCTACAACAGTACTTTTCTGAGAAAGCCATGCAAATATTTTGTGGTTTTAGCATGATTTTCAAGTCGAAAGGCGGTCTCACTTACGTTGCCGAGCTTAGAAATGGTATGCCTGACCATAAAATGGGCCATCTTGCGTGCTTCGTAGTGGGCATGTTTGCCCTACAAGCGGTTAACGAAGAGACAAAGGAGAAACAAGTGAGTTTCTTTTGTAATATTAGCCAAGGAACGGGTCCCTGTAGATGTTCAGAAAATTAGTCGGTCGGTAATAGGTCTTATGATTTTTTATATTTATTCTCTAGGATGCTACAATGAAAATACTAGCCGAAGGAAATTGGACGTTACTTGCATCGAAGAGTTACCATTCAGAACGACTCACACATCGCCCGGAAGCTTCTATTCACGCGGAAACGAGGAAGCGACGATGCAGGTACATTGCGCGAGAGCATTTAGCAGCATCATTATGATGTCTCTCGCTAAAAGGGGATTTCGTGCTCAACCTATATCTGCAGATGAAGGGGTTTTCTGGGGGATGGATTTGGTGAGGCGCCCAACCTCTTCTTTACCCCTTCCTGATAGAAACGATATGTTACATTATTGTCGCTTATTCGCTTCAACAACTAGTGGAAAACGGTTTTGGCGCCGATCTAGATCTATCCCGCCAGACGCGCCCTTTCATCCATAGGGAACCACACTTTCCGTATTTCCGTAACAGATAGCTTCTGCTATTCATTTCTGAAAACCTCAAAATAGCACGCAATGAACGTATAAGGTTGAACGAGAAATCTTGCAACATGCTGAACAAAATTTCAATTTCATGGGTATTTCTCCATGTTTTCCGCTGGAGCGCTGCACTCCTTTCAGTCAACGACGCACTGACACGGGTAGGGTAGTCATACCCACTGCGGAAGCTCTGCACTCACGTTGCTGGGGCAAGCGGTGGTCGGCAACGTCATTGGTGAAAGGGCTGAGTGGGGCGTGGCAAAACGCCCTTTCGTAGCCACGCCCTTTCGTAGCCCTTACGCCAATACGCTGTCGACGACGCTCGCCCCCCCCCCCCACTAATCATATCCTTTGCCTTTGAACATGCGGGTCCGACCAGTCCGTACTCTCTAACCCCGCTTCCCACGCACTCCAAGCGAAGAAAGTCGTACCTCTGCAGCTACGTAACCACCCTTTCGCTACATTGCAATTACCACCCTCATTAGATGAGTGGGCACTTTTTGTTTTGAATTAGAACCCAGCGAGTGTACTCAAGTCAGCCAAAGCAGATAGGCGCCTGGAGGCACCTGTTGACTGAGTTAATCAGGAAAGAAAAACAACAAGATGGCGTGGATGCTAGTGCTCGCCTGTAGTGTGTTTTGCTGGCACGCGAAAGTTTACTTGACACTGCAGTCACGAAGAAAACTTTTAGTAAGATACAAGTGCGTTGGGATCTTGTCGAAGTCGAACTACTACCAGAAGGCGCCATCCCAGTTGGCCCAAATGACCCTGGTCGGCTATTGACGGCTACTGTTAATTCTTGTCTGAATCCGCTACTGCCAAAGGCTGATGTTCTCGAGTTATTGATGGACCTAGGTTATTGAAAAAGGCCTGAATAGCGCATAAGTAGACCTGGAGTGGAAGAAAATATCAGTGAATCAGCTACCAGCGCGGAGTAGTCGATGCCTTGCCTGACCGTATGAGAGAAGCTTATAGCCATCGATCAGTGTGTAACATCCCGGCATACAGGAGTTGCAGAATCAGGATGGTCTCGATCGCTAGTGACCGAGAAGGGGACGGAAAACGTCTGTAGCGAGCTGTAGAGGTGAACCTTTAGGCGAGACCTGACGAATCCGCTGAGCTTATTGAATGTCCACCAATGCAATCGAGAACATAACGAATACTGGATATACTGAATCCGACAAGCTTACATAGAGCCGTGATAGGTGTCCGGGATGCTCTGAAACTCATTCATATGAATATATTCTACCCACGAGAAATTACACGAGAGGTTATGTTTTGAGAACCGAGATTTCCGGGTTGGTGACAATGAAGGAATTTCGAAGGAATGTAAAGATACCTTGGTTCTTGCCTGAACTTTTTGAGCTAGTCGCGGTTCCCTACAAAAACAAAGAGGAAGCAAAATAAGAGTTCATGAAATAGGGAACACAGAAACAAGAAACAGAAATCGGTCGGAAGGAACAAGTGATTGAACCAAACAGTATGAGAATTGTTAACATTTTCTCGCATATCATCCTCAAATGGACATAGAAGAGAGTATCATGATATTCTGCACATAGCATCTTTCCCTGGGTATTTACTATCCAGTTTTATTCTTTCACTGTTATAATGATAGGAACTCTACTTTAAGAGAAATTGGCTATTCTAGGAACAGCGAGTTCGGCTACATACTTCGGCCTGAAGTGATTGAAGGATTCTTCTATTTATGGAGACTAACTAAAAATAGCGTGAGTGCATTTTAACAAATAGATTACAAAAGCTTTTACTTTGGATTTCATTCAAGAATATGGCGAAGGGGAACAAAGCAGTGTGAACATTCGTATATATAACGTTGGCGGTTAAAGCATGGGGGACCATGGAAAGGTGGATGTGACGCTCATGACGAGGTTCTATCTGTTGACCTGTGAAAACAGTGGGGAAAAATTGCCAAAAACCTTGTAATAAGATCTCACCACACCACTGACGATTTGGCGTCGTACGAGTCTTACGGTCTAAAGAGGTTTGGGAATCCGAGTGAATAGTGTTTCCGTAATCCTCATAATGGTGCAGTTATGAGTTGGAGGATGATTGGCGGGAATGTTCGAACTGTTACGATTCCAGTGGTTTAACAGGGAGGATACAGTTGCATCACGACCAGTGTCAGGGAAGAGCCCAGTTTTCCCCTGTTATGCTTTTTAATATGCACCCTACATGAACGTTCAGCCCAGCCACAACTGCTTCGATCTTTCCAGATGTACCGCGATTGGGTATGGGACGCAGTTCAAGCTATTGACAAATATTGCAGAGTAGATGGAGGATTTGCGGGATTGCAGAACGTTTATCATCCTGAGCAGGTGCGTTCCTTGAGTACGTCTAACTATTGGCATGACTCCAGAAAATCGTGGATCCTCTTGTGACATTCGTAGCCTTCTAATCACTTCGCCAATACATACAGTCTTTTTAGGGTACGACAAATGTCAGCAGTCCTTCGTTCTGGCCAGACATTCAAAACCCTATTTGAACGTTCCAGTTAGATAAAATACCGTTGGATCGATGGGTTTTCAACACTGAAGCGCACCCACTACCTGTGATGAATGGAGTGCGTACGCCGCAATACTAGAAGAGCACGTCCGCATTGTCCAATGCTCAAAAAATTACTTCCACAGGTGAAATGGTCAAACACGTCAGTGCCGCCGTTTGCAATGTGACACACACTGACTTACGCGTCTTGGGACGCTGAGCTCAATCCCCTTCAGAATTTGCGAAACGATTCTATGAACGGAGTAAGGGAGAGTTTCCTTCCTGGGTTGTTTTTACGCTATCGGCTGAAAGCGTGAGGTAAGCCTGCATAAATGAGGGAAGACAAAGTGTGACGAAAGCTTGTGGACGGCAGCAAACGTAGTAGAGCGGAGAGATATGTGAGAGTTGGCTATGTATTAAGTCCTGTGTGCCCCACTTTTCGGCATTTTCAGAACATAGGCCAACAAATCTTCCAGCATCCCGCTTGCCTTTGTTGCCTGAGAAGCAAGCTCTTGCACAGTGTTTTCTTTTCAAGCATTATTGGAGACGCGATATGGTCAAAAGACTGCCTGTACTTGTCCCCCTCGCAAAACATCTCGACGAGGTTTTAGCTCTGAGTGTTCAGCGATTAAATACTCGCTGAGCGATTCAAGTCTTTCGCGCATAGTCTGAAAGATTTTGACTCAAACTTCGATGCAAACGTGTGCTAATGCTATCATTGGACAGCATCAGGCTGTAACTACTTCACCTACCATCGACAATAATCTTCAGGCTGGAATTTCTTCTTTTATCAGGAGTATGCTGGAGATGATGACAGCACTTGAGTGTGACACTGCCTCTGCAAAAGGCGCGACGAAAGAGTTAATTCAGTTTGAAGACCGGCCGTCGGTGATAGACCAGACCTAGAGTATCACTAGTGGCCACCATTCAGTCATTGAACCGGCCCTACTTTTTCGAAGTTGAGTCTGAATTTCAGATGTTGCTAGAGTGTCGTTGTCCCTAGGAATTGCTCAGCTTTCTGGATACGAATGCCAACAAACGTCGGTCGCTGCGACAAGTGGTCATTGTCACGCACTACAGGCGCGGCGGCTTCGCGGCCTGTAACCACTCTTTTAAGGATGAAGAGAGGAAAAACCCAAACTCCGTTCAAGAGAGCAGTTTCGCATCATTGAGGGGACCCGTCCCAAGTCGCGTATTTAGGTGTGCAATTCATTGCAAATGGCTAGAATGACCTGTGAACTGCCCCCGGTCAGAGGCACAATCAACGAAGACTTTCGTCTTACAGGCAAGCGACCAGTTAATGCAGAATAGCGACGGAAAAAATGCTGGGGTGAAAGCGAAGGTGTTGTGTGCATTCTGGCTAGTAATGACGCTGTTAAGTCTCGAATATTGATAAGTGCATTTCCTACTGAAAGCACTGCTGTGGTAATCCTGAAAGCTCACGTAAGATTTAGCTCTAAGGTTAAGAACCGTGAAAGGTAAAATAGCTCCATTCGCATGTGATAGCTCAACACTGCTGAACATCCGTGTGAACATTAAAGTTCGTATTCCATTTTCTTCGTCTCTCTACCGGGGGAGGTAGAACTTTCTTTTTCTGCTGGTTTTTAGTGATAGTTTTTGGAATTTGGATCACTGACGGACCACTTTGCGCATTGCTACTCGTCCTTCGGCACCACAACGTGCAGTTCATACCTTGGCGTGTTGAGAAGAAGATCCACGGCGCTTGGCTAATGAGCACAGTCTAGCTAGATAGTTGCATCGTACCAGGCAAGAGAAAATCGTATGACGTGCATCAATTATTTTTGCTGTCTGCGTTCATACCAAGTTTTATGGACACATCCTCCTTCGACGCCGAAATATGAAGTGCACGACTGAACCATCGTTGAATGTACCTTTGTGTGAGTATGTGACAAAAGAATCGTGATTCGGCCGACGCCCGCGCCGCAAGTGACGAGCAGTTTCTCGAATTTTGGCGCGACCGTATGATGACTATTAAAGTGCTGAAGAGAAAAAAAAATATGCAGCGGTTACCATCATTTGCTCTAACTCGAGAAACTGACGGACAGTTTGGATTTCCCCGCGCCCGCTCTGAAAACCCGCGCGCTCATCGCCAGAAGGTGCGCCGCGCGCGACAGCGCGATACGTTACGATTCTCTGGTCCGTCTCCTCTTTTGAATTAGGTAATGGCTAGTTATGTTCACGATAGTCTACGAGCAGGTTTCTCTGTACTTCCACAGTTATTTATTGTTAATCACCCTAAGAGAACGGCACATGACAGATTAGTTTATCACAGAATAAATCCAACTGGTTATTATTTCTTCTGTGAGTGACAACTAGTGCTTGCCCATATATCTGAATCTTTGTACAACACTTTCTATCCATAGCTTTGCCTTGACATTGTTGTTATTTGGGTAGAGACATTCCACTGAGTTGTTTGTAACTCTTGAGGTTTTTCTTGTCCTCTGTTCCTGAACAGAATCTGTGGTACGGGTTGGTGGATTTCGCTCGCTCGAGCGCATTCACCTACATCCAGCTTTGCCTTTACTGTGATATGTGACCATTTGTATGTGATTTGCATTGATGCCGCAAAACCTCAACTAAAGTATGATTTTAAATAATGAAATTTTTGCAACGTGTGGGAATTTGTTGAATATTGTCAAAGAACTTGTTCTTCTAGTTTCCCCAGATCATGGACGGCTGCCGCTTATTTCTTCATATTTATTGACTCAGAAGGCATAAGGCAGGAATATTTGATACCAGCTCAAAAATAGTAGCAGGGGTGCTACACAGTGAGAAATTACAAAAAGCGTAGTCAAACGGCCAAATCGTACCAACAACCAGTTTAATAAATACGGCTGCACGCAGATATTCATATGTTCATGTAGCAACGCTTCATATCATTTGTATTAGGTTGGCGGGAAAGTTTTGTTACATTTTTTTAAAAATTAGACTTTCTTTAGCAGAGAACGACAGATCAAAATTATACAGCAATGTTATTGAGAGATCCTTGCCAGTTTTTGGACAGTTCGTGGATGCCATCGCTTAACAATGCACGCCGGCGCGACGCAAAGTTGGACATCATCTCAACTTTGACTTGGGCTCAAGTCGTGGAGGTTTTCTCGGCTGTATAACAGTTGACGACTAGCAGTCAGAAAGAGCAATGTCTGGACTATACCAGGTGCAAGGGGAGAGCCATCCAGCTCTATTGCATGAAGTACGGCTCGAACTTTTTGACGGGGTGTGCTGCACCAGCACGTTGAAGACGGACTGTGCCGATGGATTTTGCCCTCTGCTTGACGATTCGCTTCAGATCTCGTAGCTGCCTTGCGTACGGATTGACCGAGGAGGCAGCTTCTTCATCCAGTAGTTTCCCGACCGACCGCTATCTAGAGTTGAGTTTACAGGTACACTTGAACCTCACTTCGTCATCCGAACCGTGAGCTCCCGCTCTGAAGAGCTAGCGTCGTGGAAGATTGTCTGATGACTGTAGATATTGTCCTTGTGCAGCTCCATTATTTCGGCGTCGACAGCTGCCATGCTGGCGCCAGGGTGGTAGAAGAAATAGTTTGAAGGAAGCGCTTGAAGGGGTCGGTGCTGAAGGTAGCGGATAACATTCTTGTCCATAATGCAGAATAAGGATGAGCAGGAGCCGAGCCAGTGACACTAAGTAGAAAGATC